TATACAGTACTTCACACTCAGGCATATATAAAAGAGCAGGACATTACACATTGGGTCACAACACCAAATGTCAGGATCACTTCTCCCTAAAGAGATAATGATCTTGGGTAAGGAATCACTTTGGATGCAAAACTGCCACTTTTATTACCTGAGGTAGGCACTTTAGGCCTCAGAAGTGCATAGTCCTTGTACCATGAACAAGCTTGACCTTAAAAGAAACTTTTGCTTACTTTCAAAGCAATAAACCATTGACTGTGTGCGTCCTTAGACAGCACAACAGAATGACCAGGTAGGACCTCTCTATATAACAGTAGCAATTACTGACCTTCTCAAATCTCCACTAGATTTAGGTGTAACCCTGCTGTTCAAGAGATAAGTCCTTCAGTTAAGAATTATTCTTTTTATTAAGAAATTTAAGTAGTTTCATTAGAATATAGTTGTAGCATTAAAAGCATAGAGCATTAAGCATATCCAGCAATTACCATGATTCAAATAAGCTTACTATTCCTAGGTAAAATAAGAAGAACTAGAACTAAGCTAAGTAATCATCTTTGCTCTCTCTACATATTAGCATCTAGAGAAGCTGGGCTAACTCTCCCCCCTCTTCTCTTGCAAAACACAAACCTCTCACATTCCACAACATCCTCCATCACCATCTTCTGTCACATACATGAACAACCATTTTTCTACATGTCTCTGGACCACCTTCTTTAGGACACTTCCAAGCTGCTAACCAATTAAGATCAAGTGGATGTAACACAGTACACTCCCTTATTTCACATGAGAAGAACCAGGTGCTTTATCTTGTGCCAATTAAGCAGTATGTGTTGTTTCAGCTTTTCCCGGTCTCCTCATCCTTGCTTCTTATCTCTGTGCCAGGCAGAGGAAACCCTGAACAACAATCTCATGAGAAAATTTCAATGCTTTTAAAGCCATCTTACACAGAACCTAACAGACTCCATCTTTGTATGACTATAAGTCCCAGTTTCCTCCTATTTCCTCACACCAAATACATCTGTGGAAAATGGTGTTGAAAAGAAAAAAGAACAAATCACTAATTGAGAAGGTGAGACATATGTTGCTCAACTGTTAAGCTACGCAGCCAAAACTGGGACGGGGCTTTGATGACAACTAAAAAAAGTCCTTATGAGATGTGGTGGACGCAAAAGCTCAGCATATGGTATTTCAAAGCTCAGATGTCTAAAGAAGAGAAATCCAAGCTAGATGACAAAAGTGAAGAAGGCATTGAGTTTGTCTGCCGCCTGGAATATAAAACCTGCAAAACCCTCAATCTAAAAACAGGAGTCGCAATGGGCAGCTTTGTGTACTTCAATGAAGATGGCAAAAAAGACACAGACCCTGCTGCCTAGCAGTAGACCCTGTCAGGCAAGGAAAACTATAGGTTTAGGAGCTCTTATGAGAACTGAAGTATAGAGTTCAAGTATATGGAGATCTTATTCAGTGGCATCACTCATGGGAGCAGACTACTACAGATGAACAAGATCAGCTCTTGACAAAGAAAACCAACACAAAGTTAGTTGGCTTACCTGGCCACTACCATGAGCCCAGTGATAAGAGTATGAGTTGGAATCTCATGGGGTGCGTGGGGGGACCAATTCACAAGCAAGGGAGATTGGAGAGCAGTGAAAATCGTAGGTGGGACAGCACTCAATGTATAAAGCTAAGGCTGCAAGGCACCGTCTCAAATTAATGCCTTACACAGATCGAGATTAAGTGGCTAACACCACTAATTTCAAGTCTACCAGCAGAAACCTGTTCTTCTGTTGAGACGGAACACCAGCTTGTTTAAGCAGGAAGCAAGAAATGGCAGCAATATCATTTACGGAAGCTGCATACCTTCCGAGTTTCACAAGTCAGCATTACAAATCTTTGGGAAAATTAAAGTGGTGGTAGGCAGATAGGTATAGATGGCTTCTTAAGGAATAAGTAAAATGTTTGTTGCGGTCAAGGATTGGGCTACTACTTAAGAAGTGTTATTTTAGGAGGAAGCTACAAGGACATTACTTTGTTTTACTTTTATATATTTAGACCTTGGAAAAGTTATGTTTTGGAGCCCTTCACCACATAAGTGAAAGTATTGCATCACCGGTTTACAGTTAATCAGGATGAGTAAAGCAAAGCAAAGCAAAGCGTGCTGCTTATGCACCGCCCCATGGTGCTTCAAGCACTCTGTGGGCGGTTTGCAAGTTAATTATGCTGGCTACACATTGCCCCCACCCCAGCGAGCTTGGTACTCATTTTACTGACCTCGGAAGGATAGAAGGCTGAGTCAACCTTGAGCCGGCTACCTGGGATTGTACTCAGTTTGTCTTTAAATCGTACATTAATCAGGACTACTTCAACAATCTGGTGGCAATGTCAGGACCAGATTACAGAGATAATCTGGTCCTGAGATAATATTTGGCCCAAGATTTACCCATATTTACTGACTTCCATGTTAAAGCAGGTATCCAGGTTTCTCATGAATATCATAGCTGCTTGAGCAATGATTGGATTTCTTTCACATACAGTGGTGCCTTGCTTAACGAGCGCACCATTTAATGCCGAATCCACATAGCGATGCGTTTTTTGCAATCGCTAATGCGATCGCATTGCGATGTTTTAGATAGGGAAAACATTGCATCGCGATGATCGGTAAGCGTTTCGCTTGCGATGTTTTACAAACAGCTGATTGGCGGTTCCAAAATGGCCACTGGGTCACCAAAATGCCCCCCCGCAGCGTTTTCACGGCCTGCCCTCGCTTACCGGGCGGTGGAAATAGCGGCTGGATGGAGGATTCCCCACATAGCGGGGAGTTTTTCCCCAATAGGAATGCATTAAACAGAGTTTAATGCTTTCCTATGGGTTTCCCCCCCCTGTATAGCGACAAATCCGGATAGCGACATTAATCCTGGAACGGATTAATGTCACTATGCGGGGCACCACTGTACTTCAGATTACAAATCATATTGTAAACTGGAAGAGATTTATGAATTATCAGGAGGAGGAGGAACAGCAACTATATTGTCCTTTTATTCTCCTTATGTGTGAATAATACCGTGTTCCCCAAAAAATAAGACAGGGTCTTATATCAATTTTTGCTCCAAAAACGCATTAGGGCTTATTTTCAGGGGATGTTTTATTTTACAATCATGTGATCTTCTGGTTGCTGCATAATGCTGCACAATGGTGGAGGGCGGGGTTTCACTTAACTAGAGCTTATTTTGGGGGTAGGGCTTATATTACGAGCATCCTGAAAAATCATACTAGGGCTTATTTTCAGGTTATGTCTAATTTTCAGGGAAACAGGGTAACAGGGCTGAAAAGTGATAGTAATGCTTTGCTTAGTTCTTCAAGCACAACCTTTGCTCTTGCATGAGAGAGGGACATGTAAGAGGGTCTTCTTGATAGCTGCTCCTTTTGACATTCCTGCCTGGGGTGGCACTGACCTTTCTGCTAAAGGCCAGGCACTCCTCAGGCTATAGCAGGCTATAGGTAGCAATTATCCCATGCCACATCTTCTCATCTAAATCAATCCACTTCTCTGTCTTACTTTTATCACCAACTCTGGGATGTTGTTTCCTTCCTATTATCTTTTGTCTCCAGCTCCTCCTCTACTCTTCTACTCACTGTTGTTACCAGGATAATGAATTACTGTTCCAGAGGAGTAGGAGTAGGAGACCACTCCTGTTGGCAGTTCAATGATTTATTTCTTATTTCAGCTAGAATTGGCAATTTTATCTGAGCTGCCAACCAAGGACAACAAAGTGCCAAGCATAAATCCTCATACATTATCTTCTGGGGAGGCACCATATACAAGGAATTAAAATACTGAAGAATGCAATCAGCATGTCTACCAAGATAAGAGTGTCAAACTTACCTGATAGGAACTGGAACTCCCCCAACTCCTTTTTCTGCTGTCTCAGCCTGAAACAGTCTAACCAACTCTATATTTCTGCTGCCTCTCCCAAGAGAGTCAAAACTCAACTCCCTTCTCACCAGACCATCCTCTCCCAACACTTAATCAATCACAATTCATCTACTCATCCGCCAGTCACCACAGCACTCCACCCATATCCATCTACAACATAGGTATTCAAAACTGTTTATCTGCAAAGCTTGTATATATACAACCTACACTCTCCAAATGGGAGGAACTATCACAGCTCCTGGGATGCGGAATTTCTAGGTGAGGAAGGCAAGGTGGGCCACCTCCCTGATGTTCTTCTGCCATCAAAGACCTTCCTATTCCGGCAAGGCCTTTCAGCAATTGATTGACTGATAGGGACATAAGCTTTAGAAGTTCCATTGCACTCTGCTATATTTATTTGTAATTATTATTTTTAATTGACATGTTGGAAGTAGTTTTTTAATGCATTCTGCTTTAATATGATAATAGATTTCATTATATTTTAATAATAAAAATGTGTTGTTTCTAATTATATTTGTTTTTTAGCAATCTGTAAGTCATCTTGAGTCCCTGTTTTGGGGAAAAAGCAGAACATAATTGAAATGAAAATGAAATGATTGCAACCCAGTCCTATGCTGTTTACTTGGAAACAAATCAGTGAGAGCTACTCCTGTGTCTTGTGCATAGGAGTTGATGCCTTGATACCTTTCATCAGCTTCCCTTCAGGCAACCTCCAGGCCTTTTTTTGCAAGCCTAAGAACTCCCAGTACCATTTAAGATGCCAAAATTTTGAATGAGACAATCACATTTATGGAAAACTCCAAGGGTTGTAGTTCTTTTCTAAAACAAGGTGTGCCCATACACACTTTCAATTAAGGCCCCCATTTTTAAATGCATTTATTTTTATTTATTTATTTTGGAAACAGGACAGGACCCTCCAGTTTCATTGGGAGGGGCTGGTTTGTCACTCACCCAGTACAGAGAAATGAATAATGGCCTCCGACACTTTCAGCCTGCCCATCTCTACCTTCTAATGTATTTCATATCCCTAAATCATAAATATACTTCCTGCTTTTATCTTTTGTTTCAGGTACTCCCAGAACTCTGCTTTCTAAGGCAGGCACAGAAGTTTCTTGTCCTCAAGAACATGGGGGCCAATGGTGACAATGGAGTTCTAAGGAATATTCTGGTTGGTCTCCACTTAATGCTGCTGGGATCTGTCTTTAGACCTTTTGAATGCAACCTGGAGGTGATGACAGAGAGAGTCAAAAGGCAGGTGGCTGAGGAGGAAGCCAACTTTGCCAACTACACGTCACCTATGAAAGAGCAACCCATGGTCTTCAGCCATATATATAACATTAATGTGCCTCTGGACAGTCTTTGCTCAACTTCCCTAGAGGCATCATCTGACCCAGAGGCAAGTTCAGAAGATGATCGGATGACGGAATACACAGAGCAGACCTCAGACAGTGAGAGCCAGGTCACCTTCACACACAGAATAAACCTCCCCAAACAGACTTGCAAGTGTGTCGCCTCTTCCCGGGACATACAGGAGCTGCTGAGCAGAATTGAGATGCTGGAGAGGGAGGTGTCTATACTCCGGGTCCAATGCAGCTCCAGCTGCTGTCAAGACAGTGCTGCTACAGGTAGTAACTGATATCTTGAAGTCTTGCTAGCAACTAAGGCATGTCAAATGGAGCTGAAAAAACATGAAGGCTTTTTTAAAAGGGCTTGAATAGACAGAATTCTCCCACAGATTTTCCAAATGTACAGGAAATGGCTTTTATCAGTGTTCTCCAAAACTTTGTGGGCCTACAGCCTACATTAGTTTTTAATTATAACTGGAATAGACTCACTGGGCAAAATCCTGCTATGTGTGATTACCTGGGAAAGCTGATGACATCACTTGCAGGGGGAAAATTTTATTAGAAGACTTTCCCCTTCGATTGCACAGCTTGTCCAACTCGCAAGTAATCCATTTTATTGCATGGATGCATAGGAGCTATGGGACAGAAGGAGAAAGGTTTTCCTTACCACTTCAAGTAGCATCATCTAGCACAGGGGTCTCCAAACTTTTGAGCATGAGGGCCACATTGTATATTTTCAACATTTTTGAGGGCCAAAGGAACATGTGTGTGTGTGTGTGTGTATGCGTGGCGACATGCATGCACCCCCTTGCACACACAGACACCTGCCATGCACGTGCACACACACCCGCCCTCACGCATGCCCACGCGGACACCAACATGGATGCCTGCATGCCCACATGACCAACCACACACATCCTTCATGGACGCATGCACGCTCCCCCCACAACCCACTCAAACACAGGGATACCCATCTGCCCACAAACACGCATGCACCCCCGCTCCCACACTCGTGCATGGGCTGAAGGGAGCAGCCCAAATAAATTGGCAAGGTGGGCCAAATGTGGCCCGTGGAGTGTAGTTTGGAGACCTCTGATCTTAATTAAAAGCTTTCCCTTTCCATCTTACAGCTCCCACAGATTCCATGCAATTAAACAGATTGTTTATGACTCAGACAGGCTGTAGGAGGGAGGAGGAGGTATTTAATTACTAAAAATTACCCCAGCTGGTGATGTCATCACTCTTCCACAGGCATAACTTACACAACAGGATTTTTGGCCACTGTTATCTGTCATTTGTGGCATCTCTTCTCTTATTTTTCTTTGTCATTTTCTTCCCATTTATGCTGTGACCCAGCAGAAAGCCAAGAGTCAGATTTATAAAACCCCTTTTCTCATGGCATCTCCTAAAGGTTAAATTAATCCATAAATCACAGAGGAATGTCAAAATTAGGTCCATCCTTGTTTATTTGGAGAAGGTCAGTGTGCAAAGCAATGCTAGTTTGTTGCTGCCTATTGCCAAGCCCCTTTCACATAAGTACCATGCCTTGCTGGCTTTGGGGGGTCAATCTAATGACTAAACAGACTGTTTCAGCTAATTTAAGGTGGGTTAGGAATGCAGAATAAGAAAACTGAGCCGAGTATTTGTTACAAATTGATTGTTTGGCCACACTCTATTGTCTCCCATTCTATTCACCGGAGAAAGTAATAACTGGAAGCTAAAAATGTAGCAAAAGTAACAATGACTATACAAGAGCAGGAAGCATTTGGCAGTGGTAAGAGATTGCGCCATATCTATGGCACCTTGAATAGATTGACATTCTGACTGCTGATTAAACTAACCAGGGGTGTTCCAGCTATTGAGGAATTAAAAGATGTGTAAAATCTTTTAAAGAATGGAAAGACCTGAAGAAAACTGTAAATCAAACCACCCATCCTCGTGTTCCTTATTACAAATCATATGAAAGCACAGCAGGGACATATTTTCTGTTCCCTCTATTCACCTCCTGTAAGCTTCTCTAAGCTGGAGGAGAAGGGGGGACTGACTGAGAAAGCCTGCTCTACATGTGAAGGCATCTAAGTTCTCATGAAATGCAAAACCTTGCTGTGTTGGCGGACTGTTCATGTACAGTCGGTTTCCAGCTGCAGAATCCAGACCTTCCACCTTATCCCTTGCCTCTGGAAAGTGGTGGGTATGGATGTAGAGATGTGAAGAATTCTTACAAAATTGCTCATTCTTAACAAGAGGACACAATCCTATCACAGAAGGTCAGGAAATAAATTATTTCAAGAGATGTCTTCTCTTAGCATAAGAATTAGACAATGAGTGCTTCCCCTTCCCCCACTCTTCGGACTGAAGAAACTACTTGGATGAGTCACTAAACATTTCAACCTAACAAGAAAGAAGTCCAGTTGCCATGACTCAACTTCCAGATAACTCATCAGATGTTTCTATTTTTAAAAAAATCCATGCAACCAGATAGCAACTATCACATTTTCATGTAATTTAATCTTGCACAAAAATTGGGCCCAATGATGTAAGAACTCTTGCGAAGACGAGTGAAAAAATATCTCACTGTCTTGCAGGTATGGAGGGAAAAATGTGTGCAAAAACAAGGCAAGTGAGAATTTATATTACTAGATCAAATGGCCTTATTTGGGACCAATCAGATTGGTGGTTCTGATTTTCAGACATTAAGGACTCCCACCACTGGGACTGGGATTGGCATGTTTTGGACATTTAAGCCTTCCTCCCCACATTCCAAGGCCACCAATGGCTTCCCCAGGTTGAAATGGATCCCTAGGGGGCCTCAGATCCTAAGGGGAGAAATGGGAAGATTTTCATTCAAAATAAAAGGCTGTGGCCAATGATGTCAACAGCCTTATATGCACAGAGCAGCACCAAGAGGGTTCCAGGCAGTGTATGCAGAGGGAGCAGGGACATCACTAGGGGAAAAACACAGGAACACATTTTGTCACCCTGTGAGCACATCTAACCTTTAAAATAAAAACAGCCAATCAAACTGTTGTTGCCCTCTACAATCCAGCATCTAACTCCTGACGCAGCCACTGCACTCTACTTTGTAAAAAAATAAAAATAAGCAAGTAAAGAGAGAATGCCTCCAAAGCAAATTGTTGCCACTACTGCAACGATCACACTCACTGCTGTTTTGTCCCACAGTCAGCAAATCAATAAACATGACTGTCTTTTGAGTACTTTACTTTTACTTTACTTTATTTGGACTTATACCCCGCCCCTCTAGACAAAGTCTACTCGGGGTGGCTTACATGAGAGATAAAATACAATAAAATAACATAACATACATAATGATTAAAACCCACTAACTGATACATACATACATTATCAAGATGGAATAGTTGAGAACAAAGATCAATTAATTGACTGGAGGGAAGGCCTGCCTAAAGAGCCAAGTTTTTAAATGGGTTTTTAAAACACCCAGCGAGAGAGCCAGGCGGATTTCCATTCGGAGAGTATTCCACAGCCGAGGAGCCACTGCCGAGAAGGCCCGGTTTCTTGTTCTTTCCTTCCGGACTTCTCTCGGCGTTAGGCCCCTCAGCCTGGCTTTGTCAAGTGATTCGGGTAGACACGGGTGGGAGAAGGCGATCTGCCAGATATCGAGGTCCCAAACCGTTTAGGGCTTTATACGTCATCATTTATACTTTGAAATCAATGCAGAAACGAATGGGCAACCAGTGCAAAACAGCCAGGGTGGGGGAGATATGCTGATATTTCCTCATCCCACTAAGGAGCCTGGCTGCCGCATTTTGCACCATTTGAAGTTTCCGCATCAATCCCAAAGGCAGCCCCATGTAGAGTGCGTTACAATGGTTTAATCTCGAGATTACGAGCGCATGGACAAAAGTAGTGAGGGGCCCCCCATCAAGATATGGTCGCAGCTGGGCAATCCGTCATAGGTGAAAATAGGTGGAATGGACCATGGACGCTACCTGGTTTTCCATGGTAAGCGCCGGGTCCAGAAGTATCCCCAGCTGCGAACCTCGCTCTTTGCACTGAGGGTCGAACCCCCAAAAGAGAGGGAGTCACCCAAACTGCTGATGGAAGGACCACCCACCCTCAAGACCTCCGTCTTGTCTGGGTTCAGCCTCAACCCATTCAACTGCATCCATTCCAGTATAGTCTCCAGGCAGAGCTGGAGGGACAGAACGGGATCCACTGAATTAGGTAAAAGGAGATGTAGAGCTGTGTGTCATCAGCATACTGATGACAGGATGCCCCACACCCCCTGATGACCCCTCCCAGCGCCTCGTAGATATATAAGCAGCACGCTTTAGATGTTAAACAACATTGGATAGATGATTGACCCCTGCGGAACCCCACAATTGAGGTTCCATGGGGCCGAAACATTCTCGCCAAGCTGTACTCTCTGGGGACGGTCCTCCAAGAAGGTGCCAGTCTAGCGATTCCCAGCTCAGAGAGCCTCCCCAGGAGGATACCGTGGTCAATGGTATTGAAGGCGGCTGAGATGTCAGGGAGGACCAACAAGGACATATTGCCCCCATCGGTCTCCCTCAATAGGTCATCCAACAGTGCGACCAGTGCCGTTTCCGTACCTGAAGCCCGACTGAAATGGGTCCTGGGCATTGGTTTCATCCAAGAATGCCTGTAGCTGGTCTGCCACCACCCTCTCCACCACTTTTCTTAGGAAGGAAACATTGGCAACGGGCCTGTAATTTCCAATGTCATCTGCCACCAAATTTGGTTTCTTCCTAATGGGCCTAATGAGTGTCTCCTGGAGAGACCCATTAATTATTGCAGTGGCCCATTCTGTTGTTACTGGCCTGGCTGCTTCAATTAGCCAGACCAGGCAAGGGTCAAAGGAGGAGGAGGAGGCCCAATAGCGACCAAGCACTTTGTCCATCAGATCTGGCATCACAGGCTGAAAGAAGTCAAGGATTACCGGGCAAGGTGGAGCGCTGGACATATCCCCTAACCCACACTCCCTGTCACCTTCAAAGACTCCTGCTCAGGTTGTCCTGCATCTTTAGGCCTATTCAGGTGTTCTCCCTCATAGGTAAGGTTTACAGGCAAGGAATGTGTTGGGTTTCCTCTAGGAATAGACCACAGGTAGCTAGAAAATAACAGCTGTTTATTTAACAGGAACATTCAGTTAAGACCTTAGAGCTTCTAACTGCATAATAAGAACAATGACGCATAATGGGCTCCTTTCCCCCTCTGGAAAGCAGATGGCCTCTCCTGCAGATTCTAACACTACAGTATAAAAACTGCAGGACCCACAG